ATACGCGTGTACGCTGTGATCTATAGACCTCCTCGTACAAAGGCTATCGCTGTGTTTCGAAACACAGGCTTTGAAAAAGGCCTATTTATCCGACAAGGAATTGTTTCTAGCCACATCCAGCTGAGGCCACCAATGTATGGCATAAGATATAATCGCTAACTGCTGCTACAGCGGCTACAATAGCAGCCTAACTTGAGAGATGCATCTTCATTCATTTCATCGAGCTCGACAACAATATTCTCGCCCACGAGACTACAAGAATCGTGCTTCTTTCAATAAAGCTCCCGTGTCACAAAATGCAGAGCATCTACATAAACAAATTGTGACCGTGATGGTCTCTCCTATGGCTATTGCTTGCTGTCCACGTTCTCTTGCCTACATTTAGCTCAATAAGGGCTATGATAGGATATTTTTTTCAGTCAGATTCTTTGTGTCGAATTAATCCACACAGCCAAGTGTAGAAGATGTGTGCTACAAATCTCTCCACTGATGAACACCGCCTTCAACGGTGCTTGATATATATTTTTATGTGGCCATCGTTCTCCCTCAGCTCATCTGTGTATGCATTTTTCTACTATACAACAACAACAAGAGCAGTAATTGCCATGTTTTCCTCCCTTTTATATATATATATATATATATATATACATATATATATATATGTTCACCCCATCTGTTATACGACTCACCACAATATTTTCAACGGCAGGCATCTAATGACAAATATATTGTATAGTGTATATATGTCCACTAGCTCTAGTAACATCCATTACACAACATAAACTTGGCTTCCCTAAGATACCGATATTTTGTTTATATATATATCCACTGTCATAATTGTTGGTTGGTTCATTACAATATCAATATCAACTATATAGATAATAATCTTGTTATTTTTTGTTACCAAAAAATGACATTGTACCCTTGGAAAGGCCGCCAGCCGGTTGCAAATAGGAGATATAAATCCGGCTAACAGCTAAGTACTATTTCTATTCTTTAGCTGGGAACGGACGCCTGGACAGTATTGTCGTATTCTGTTTCTCTGTCTGTATGATGTGTGTCATTTCTCTGTGCCACATATGAAGAGCTACTGGATAAAGTTTAGCTTGTCCTCAGGGTGGACCAGCGTAGCGATCTGAGAACTGGAGTTCTCAAAAAGTCGAACAGTTTCATCGTCGTCATAAAAATTTTTTTTACATGTATACTTGTATCAGTATGTACGCACACATACAACACTAGCTTGTCTTATGCTCCTTTGAGAATCTAAGGGAAGGCTAAGCTTATTTGGGTTGTTTTATGTCACGCCAGTTCAATTGGCTCGACTAGCCAGCCTTCAATAAATTTCCACTTTCAACAATTTTTTTTACAAGATGAACATTTTTGCAAGATCATTAGACTTTGAGGCGAACTTAGTTGTTCGCCAGGCTATGCTTTCTACGGAATATGCCATATGGCACGGTTACAGCCGTTTTCTAGAAGTTACAAACTGACTGGTGCTGCGATCAACGTCATTAGGCGAGCAAGCAGAAATCACAATTACAGATTAATGGCTTGCTTGTCCCCATTTTACTGTCAGTTATCACTACATGAATTGCTTTAATTACGTTGTGTGAAAAGGCGTAGTCAATTATAGGAAAGCTTTACGATCCTAGCAGAAATTGGTTTTTTCGTCTAAATCTTTAGTTTGAATTCAGGTCCCGCTTAATACTTGCTGGTTTTTCTCTCTGTCCCTTCCATTATACCTTTGTCGTTTTCTGCTCATTTTTCACTCTTCGCCACCGAAGATAATAACCTATAACTAGTTAATCATTGTTGTCTATCATGAGTTACTCGGTCTTGATTGACAATCGATGTCATCATAGTGTTGTTTGGAAGTAGAAATCATGATTAATTGAACTGGCACTCTAAAGAAGGAATGACACAATCGTCTGTGTCTGTTTGTTTGTATCTGTATTTATGTCTATGTTCGCTTATAATAGCGTTCAGGTTTGTCCATTGGCGCCAAAGCCCGGCAATGATGACAGAGATCATCTTGACAGCCGACAGCCTCCACGGTCGCCCGTATATAAAGGCCATAGGACGACAGCAATCCTAGTTTAGGTGCAGGCCCGTGCAACGCTAACCAGTGCTCCCACAGGCCCAGTCGCATCTACTAACTGACTAACCATCATCCAACGAACATACGATCCCTTGATATTATACTACTATCAAGTTAGCAATGCCAACCTTAATTCGCCGGTAGGTCTACTAAATACAACAGCTAGAAACATAAGCCGCCGTTCGCTCATAACATCTCAATGGCTAGTCGGAGAACAACCACTTGAATTGCGGGTATTTTCAGCTCACTGGCTTTTCTACATTCCAGCGATCGTGTATTGCCGTACTCAAACACGCAGACGATATTCGCGCGTAATTAGAAATTTACTACAACAAAAACAATATTATTTATTATCACGACAGCGGCTCTGCGTTGGAGTGCATGTTTACATTGGCGAACTATTCATCGTCTAATGTTCCCCTTCACTTTTCACGTTTAAGTGTACTGGTCACATATGATTTTTTAATTGCACAATATCGCATTAATGTATGTATCATCAACTTTAACGATGTTTCAGACCAGCGTTTAGAGACGAGGAGAAAACACCCTGTACGTTTCCCCGCGTTTTTTGAAGCACTGGTTGCAGTCCGTTGCAAGGACTTCGTTGGCCTGTGTCCCATATTGTTGTTGCCTTTTTCACGATCATCACCGATCACTTCGAGCACTTCTAGCAAATATCAACGTTTATTGATTCTCATTTTTTTCTCGTGCCCATCACCAGGTAGCTCCACAATATGCGAACAATTTTATTACAACTACCGTTTTTCCTACTAGTATTGTTGCTGCTTTTCTATTCGAGTCGTTATCTTTCACTCGATTATGTCCTATCGATTTTTTTATTAACTTACTGAATGGGGTGACATTAGCGTAACGAAGTGCTTTCTTTTAACCTTTGTCTGACTGACTGTATCTGCATCTTCATCATCACATGAAGGGGGCCTGTTTCGAGCAGCTCTCGATCTTTTAAATCATTCCGTTTCGCAAAAAAGCCTACACGAGTGGCACTAACGGACAAGATCTATGAAGAAGACGATAGCTATCTTTTCAGCTACGCACGAATAGTGTTCTCTGCGAGGTGATTTCTTCTGCAAGCGGCTTGCTCTTGGAGTATGAACATGTGTTTTGCATGCTAGAGACGGCCATATTTTGATGAACTGTATCAATAGAGAAGAAACGTCAATCGTTTTCATTTTCCTTTCTCTTCTAATCATGCCCGTCAATGCTTACGACAGGAGGTTGTTGTTGTTGTCCAGGACAAGAGCTGGTCACAGACGCGTGTTGTCCGATGTCTCCAGGCCCGATGCCTGCAGGTGCCCCAGATGTTAAAAGTGCAGCCTGTTGCTGTTGTAAACAGTTCGAACTGTTACTGCTTCCGCTGCTAGAACTCGACACGCTCCGCGTCGAAGTTGATCCCCCGGTAGAATTTACAGTGGAGCCTGCTCCACCACCCCCGGAGGGCTGTTGTGGCTGTTGTGACGGATGAGGCGAGCTTGCCATTTGCTTTTGTCGAACTTCGCGGATTTTTAATTGCAGTGTCTGCTTATTTGGGAAAACATCTTTGTGTTTTTGCTGGAAAGCGGCAGTCGCTTGAGCTGATGGGAACCATCCTGAAAATTAAATATTGTACATTAAAATGGAAAAAATCGGACACGCTAAAGATGTAGGTGCTAATATATATACTAGGAAAAGAGGTTCAGCTAATTGAAAATTAATACTGCATGTATATATCTCTCACGTTTGAATAATCCACATACATATGCTTCTACAAAAGAAATAACTTTTGCTGCTACTAGGTTTTCTAAAGTAATGACGTTTACCTTCCTCGGCGAAGAGCTGCATGACAAGTTGTCTACGCTGTTCGAGAACTCTGCGTAACGATGAAGGATTCTCTGGTGTTTTCGGGGTCATCGGTGTAATTCCGGGTGAATCGCCTCCGCTAGTATCGCACGCGTCTCCTGCAGAACCGCTCGACGCTGCTGCGGCAGCCTCCTGCAGTGAACAAGTCGGCACGCAAAGATTAAATAATAATAATAATGAACGACCACCTGAAGATGAGCTTATCGCGTATAACATGGCTGTTCTATGTGCGTTGTTAAGTATATATATATATGACCGTCTCATGTCTGCCAACAGATCAACTGTGAGCAGTCTTAAAAGGAGCAGCACCGCGATGTATTAGATAAAGATAAATACTAACGATTGTACTAACCTGCACACTGAAAGATGGCCCGAAGAATGTATTCCCCTCTAGTTTAGGTGTCTGGGTTGCACTGGAACACCCGCTTGTGCTAGGTTCGCTGCCCTGACTAACTCCATTAGCTCCTGCTCCAATATTTGGTGGTCCTGCACTCTGGGTCTGTAAATGCGTAGAACCGGTTGTGGCTGACGTTGAGTGTCCATGGGAATTCCCGTTCACCAATACTGGGGCGCTCAGAGGAGCCACCAAGTCATGCTCTGAAACACGCATAAGAACAGAGTAACAAAAGTTATAGGCGCATCCGACACCGCGTGCTTGCTGTGGCAAGGACCGCAAAACACCTTTACCAATCTGATCAACCATTCGATATTTCAAGCCACTACAGTTATAAATTATCACATCCCTATAGATACGTTTATCGTGGTTCGGGATAGCTAATTACTATTATAACGCGTGCAGCATTGTATTGCACTCACTTTTGGGCGGCATCTGGAAAGCGGATGGTGTGCCATCGTTCCTGGTGCCCGGCAACGGCGTCGTTTGACCTATGCCGACGTGACCTTGATGAGCAGTAGCAGCCGTCTGGTGGCCTTGGAGCGTCCCAGCGTGATGCTGTCCGGGATGGTGAGTCATCTGCTTCTTTTGGCCAGGCGCCAAACCCAGTTGGGCTGGCGTTGGTGCGAGTACGAATGGTGTCGTGACAATCACTGAGGGAGGTTCGAGTCCGGCTACTGTTCCGGAAGCCGTCCGTGGTCCCATGCTCGCGACGGAGGGCGAAAGAGGCGTCCGGACAGAGAGTGCCTGAACTCGTTCCTCCATGAGTGATACTTCGAACGGCGGTGCCGATTGCGGTGGCTCCCGATAGGTCAGTGGAGACAATGGCAACGGACTGGAGATAGACGTTGATGGCGACGTGATCGTATGGGAGGCTCCGTGTACGTTGAGAAGGTTGCCGCACGACGCTGTTGATGAGACCCCGACGCCGCCGCTGACGCCGCCACTTTGCAACGTGGTGGGTACACTTCCGCCCGCGTTTTCCTCGCCGTCACTCGCTTCTTCGCCATCCTGACGTCCAATTCCACCGACGCCAGCCGCGTTCTCGCTGCGCTTTCGTTCTCTGCTGCACCACTTCCATTCGGGATGTTTTTTGAAGTGTTCTTCCTTAACTTTGAAAGCCATTTCGTGGTACTGCTGCTTCTCTAGTGGCCGCAGTGCGTACCACCATTCGCCGAGGATTTTCGACACCGTACGATTGTCCTGGTTTGGGTGTCGCTGATGCACGAGCGCACGATGTCGCTTGCTGAAGATCATAAATGCATTCATTGGTCGTCGGATATGACTGCCGCCGACACCTGGTCCACCGCCGGCGCCAGGGCCACTGGACGACTCACGGCCGTCCTTTGATGAAGTGCTGCCACTTTTCTTTCGAGCTCCACTTGGCGGGGCCGCCAGAGCTATCGTAGGTGGATTGCCGGCCTTTGTGTCTTCGGCGGTGGACGGTGCGTCACTAACGAATACCTCGTCCAAATCCTCTTGGTCAATTTCGCTTCCTTCTTCCATCTGAGTATCGTAAGTAGCCGAATAATTCCGTGCCAGGTTCATACCGGAACCACCTGTTCCCGCTGTTGGTTTGATAAATGAGAAAAAAACAATCACTAGTCTCAGTTTGCTATTCAAATCGGTACATACGACGTTACTAGTACGTGTGTTGCGCGCATATACATCTTCTTTGACACATTAGCATTGTACGGCCCATTTACGTGGCCTTTCGCCACTTTCTATCATCAAAGGTAAACTATTTGGCCTTCTTCCCATCCCTAACCGTTCCTCCTCCTTCAACTCTTGACCGACGCACCGCCGTCTGTGATAAAAGAGTTCCTCTTCCTTTCGATATTACCGACTCTTGACTGCTCTATTTATATAAATAGCCATTTTTTCCGCTCTAGTTACGGCATATTTAGCAAGTATTCTTACTAAAAAAAAAACTACACTACAGTTTTGAGCGATTAACAACCAACACGTTGAGACGCGATGTTATTTAGAAGTTCCTTTGATGTACCGCATTTCATCGAAGCCTAACTAGCACACCAGTATCGCTATAAACAGAATCGGTTCTATATGCATGCGGGATTATCTGTTTGGAGGCTGCGATCTCATCCCACAACTGGCAGTTTTTACGCCACTTGAAATGTGTCCTTACAATAACAAGCTCAAGCCAGCCAACTTCGTACCTCCAAGTAGGTCCACTAAAGCTAATTTACCGCAACAATTGTGCCGCCAATACATGTCCTTTTACTGTTTTTACTGTTGTATTCTTTTTGTGGTAATGAAATATCAATCACGAAAGAAATAGGCTTTTTTCAGAGCTGTCGTTCATATGCGATGTATCCTGTTGGCCTTATCGACTCACCAAGGAAGGGCACGAGAGCCGTCCACGGGTAGACGGGAATGTGATTGTTGTTGTTGTTGTTGGTTTCATTAGGATTCGAGCTAACTGACGCGACCAGCTGATATGGACTTCCACCAGTTGAACCTATGCCAGTGTAGAGAAAAGCGTGACACATACCAACACAGTTAGGTTTATTGTTAAAACGGCTATGTTGTTATCCTTGCTATTTTGTGGAAGTAGAGTTAGGTGGCGCTAGGTTTCTTTGACTGAATTGTTTCGACGCGGATTTCTGCAGACATGGTGAGGACGAGCACAGGATCTTACATAGAGCTCATCGCGTAGCAAACCGTTTAGGCTGCCCTTAACTCATGATTAGTCGTAGTTCGCGTAATTTTTTCATTTCCATGGGAATTTTGGCCACTTGGCCTGACCGCTTGTTGCTTTATAACAGCTTTCAACCATTTTACTGCTACGTGTTTACTTCGTTTAACGCTCTTTCTTCCTTGCTTTCCAGTGGTACGATTACTATCAGCCTCGTCGCGGGCGATATCGTACTGGTCTGGCTAGGAACAGCTAAGTGATCACTTCTCCGACGCGCTGTCTGAGCAAACCATCGCAGGGACTTGGCTGGCACTTTCATTCATATATGCGCCCTCACAGACGCAGCGAAGGACAAACAAAGACGCTGAGTGACAGCGATAGGGTTACGGAGAGAAAAGGAGAGAATGCGCACACACGAAGAACTAGAAATATCAACGAACCACCTTCAGCTCACAGGACTCGGTATTGCGTACATCTGGTACAGGCTCACCGTTGGCCTTAGACAACGACAACTATACTATAACTACTACGTAATACGATAAACACATCGACACTATTAAAGACAGGATAATATTACAGTACGTACAAGACGCTATAACAGCTTAATGCAATTGGTTGACAAAATTATGCTACTACTTGAGTCGTTCCTAGCGAGCGTTGCCGAAGACGAGGCTGGCTGGCCGGCCGGCCGGCTGGCCGGCTGGCTGGCTCGACACAGGGCCGCCTCCCACTTGAACCCTCTCGAATACGAATTTTTTTGCTATTACTGTATCTTCTAGTTGTGCTACTGCCACCCTGCCGCTGTTGTCGCTGTTACGACGAGTACTATGATGATTTTTTTTTATCACGCAAGCCTCGTTGTTGCAGCTGCTGTCGCTGTCAATGCTTGTCGCATTGGCTGACTGCTGCTGGCGTGCGATGGAAACATGCACTAGATTATACACGAGATAACATTCGGCATGGAACGTATGACAACGCTAACGGTGGCGCCAGCGCCGACAACGGACGAAGTGTAGTGGACCACTACACAGAGTCACAGAATCTGGTCGTTCTCATACAAAGTGAGTGTTCTTGACGCCTGTGACTCACTCCGTCCAGCCAATAATGAAGCGCAACGAAATGAATGCGCTCTGCACTGATCAAAGCTAACGCCAACCAGATGGCGGCGAATGACGTACATAGTCCGTATGAAAGATTGAGATGTTTTGTGCGACGGGATGACGGTCCAGCTAAGGCGCTGCTGCCGTCACTGCCGCCACAAAAAGAAGGCAAAGCAGGACCCAGGTTGGACCAATCAAACCGGTTTACCCACGACTATCCCTCTACACTACATATGCGCGTCAAGTGCAAATCGTATTCTGATGACAGGGGCAGAGGGAGCCAAGGCGAATAGAGAGGCTAGGCATGAACGAAGTACGACAGGATGGCATAGCTCTCATTAATTTTTCCCTGGGTGAATTAATACGTACATACATTGACGGGAGAGCTCGGTAATAACTAATTTACTGAATAAATTATACCTATTTTGTCTGATCCTCCAACATCAGTGGCTTAATTTGGCTGTTTCACAAGTTATCTTGTAAGTTGCCGTATGTAAAATTGCTAACTTGTCAGTACTTGAATAGTCAACAAAATAATTAAGCTGCATGAGCTAGCTAACAACGCCACAAAAGTGCACAGAATATCTATCAGTAGCTTATTAATGGCTGCGCAATTTGAGGCGTACGGCGGTTTTCATAGGAAAATCATGTCAAATAGTTCTAAAAAATCTGAGCAAAATTCGTGGAATGCTACTTAATATGTATCCGGTGGCGACGCAGTCTCAGTTAGCCTTGACAACTACTTAATGCCAACATAAAATCAAATTGGAAAACACTAAATTCGATCCGAGGCGTCAATTTATTGTTTAAGTCGCAACATAGAAAGAAATCGCTCGAGTGCGAAATAGGGCAGCAACCCACATTATTTCAGAGAACAGTCTTACGATCAAATAATGAGAACTGATAGCTCGTCAGAAATACAGACCAAATGTACTCCAGTCCAAATGATTTTACCATGCAATTTATCAACGCGTGCTCGCAATATGATGAAACAAGCTTTGAAAACTTACTTGAAGAATGATGTTGTGGCCTCACTCCATGAGCATCGAACATGGACCCAGTGTCACCCTGGTCATCGTTAAGTCCCCCGCTATCTCCGCTAAATGATTGATGCGATTCGCCAGTTTTACCTAAGCCGAGTTAAATCAAAGCAATAGCCAGTAGAACGTGTTAGCGTATTTCGGCAACAGGCTACTGGTAATAACGTTTGTTCAGGTAGGTTAAGAACGCCCATTGGGTCCTCCGACGCTAAAAACTGACCGCAAAACACCAAGTGCACGCGATTACGTGTCTCACACTAGAAACAATGTACGTCATATTGCAATGAATTGTCACAGATAATTCTCTAATAGGTCCTAATAGTTCGTATGCGTTAGAACTGCATCACTGCAATTGCTAACTAAGATACTTAATCTTATACAAATATACTAAGTAGTCAAGCGCAGCTTTATCTATGAATGGAACTATAGACGCCCGCGTCGTAAAAACAAACTACATAAATTACTTCACATGCACACAGGGTGATGAATCGCAAGAGTGGCACACAGGATTACTGCGCAGATTTATTGAATAGTATTGCCTTTTACCATTTTTAGAGTTGCGCATGTTCTACTACCGTCGTGCTGACGGAGTTATTGCCATCTCAGCGAACCTGTACGGTCGATAAATACTTATGTATCTACACGTACATGTATAATAAACAGATTTTTGTTGGTTTTCCGTTAAGAAGAGGAAACGCAGTTGCATTAAACTACGTGTGTATAAGAGTGTTTAACATGTATCTACCTGGCCGTTTACTTTTGTGGGTGTGTTTGTGTGTGTGTGTGTGTGTGTACACGTAAAACGCTGCCAGCGTCATGATTAGTCTAGCTACTGTTGTTCGTTCTTTGACGAATCACTAACGAACCGTAGCTACAGATGATATCGGTTCTCACAATCCAGTTATTATTAGTGAAAGATACAATAGTTTCTGCGTCGGACAGAACAGCCACGATGTGCGCAGACACGTGTAAATACCATCCTGGGTAAACGTGCATCATACACACTTTCTTTTAAGTAAGTTCTCGTGCCCCTTGCCAGAAAGCTCTATTCGAACCCCTATCGATTTCCGCCTAATAGTGCACAGCTGAGCCGTGCACACGCGCGTCTACAACGCGCGCACCCACCTACCACTGTCACAAGGCAAACTTCCGATGAAGCTGGTTTGCAGTGATTTGTTGAAACCAGCTAATATCGAACACGCTTGCCCTCTTCCACTTGCTTTCGGTGCAGCATCTAATGAAAATAGGTGACATCTAACAACAGTGTCTGGGATGTACCTCGAAAGTAAACCCCGGTGGAAGAATTGAGCGGGTCGCCACCACCTAGATATATCGAAGTTGAGATGTTGACAAGCAGTTGGTGTTAGCGCAACTAGCAATATCTATTCTACGATAGCGAACTACAATGACGACGGTGAAGTAAAGCGTATATCTATATTCAACTTTTGCATTATCGAACCTACCCTTGAGTGAGAGATGCCTTGAGCAGTATCCTCTACGTTGAGATTCTTTTGTACAGCCGTCGCGGCTGCACAAGCGCCTCCATTGCTTTCCGTTAAACTTCTTACGGATGCCGTTTGGAGTAGACACAATATCGCCCTTCTTGAACTTGTGTTCCTGGAACAATTGTAGATTAGTTGATATATAAGAAAGCGAATAAATAATAGATGCAATGCAACTAGTCCTATTCCCTAGATATACCTATATATATGAAATTCGCCAGACGATGACCTTTATCTAGTATTATAAGTAAGCTCGTTGCTGGCTCTGCTGAAAAGCGTCCTCAAGCATCATTTTTCGAATGTTAGTGAGCTACACTTCTTCGGCCAATGATGATTTGGGGGCAAGGTTAATTTTAGAAAAGTGCCTTTCATATCGCTTGTCAGCTCTATCAACGCTGTGAGCTCTGATTCTCAGGTTTGATTAGATTTAAACGAACGCTTACAGGCACACAACAATATGCCGTTTATATCTGCAGGCTTGCTTTGTATATTGTAAATGCTACGGCGACTAAGAAATCTGTCTTTTTTGAAGACGTCCTGATATGAGGTATCATGTCTCCGCATCCTCCTATCCATGTGGTCATTTTCACATTTCATTTCAGTTTGTTAATTAGTTTTCAAGGGTTGGCCTATATACGGGCCTGAAGCTGTCTAAGCGATTCAAATTCAAAAGGCCAGGTAAGCGCTGTCGATAAAAATCGGCTACGTTTGACAGCCTGGTCATGTTCAACGAAATAATGGATCATCCTCTTTTCAGAAGACATCACGGGAACCGCATCAGTGGGGCTCTTTTCCTTTCAATCGAATATCCCGATTAGACCTGTGTTCAGACACACTACACGCACCCTAAACAAACGGCTTTTATTTGTGCCTCCCTATTATCTTACGCTCCATACTATTCTTAACAAACGCAGGTAACGCGCGGATTATGCGTTACTATCATTACCAGAACAAAGATCTCTGATACAGTTCGCTTCTCCAAACGTACAACCTTCCATTAAAGCCACATTCGTGACTAACACTTATTACGCGGTGGTTCAGCGCGTAGTTTATGCGGACCAGCAGATAAAATCAATAATGCAACCAGATTCTCTGACGATTGTCGGACTCTGCGAGAACGAATCCGTCAACAACCGCGACCGACGACAGTACAGAACACCTATTTTTGTACGAATATTATATGTATAAATTCGGTCTATCCTATATCCTCGTCTTCGTAATGCGTTAACATCACGCTCGATAGTTGCAGACGATAGATCTAATTAGTGAATAACAGTCGGCGTTATGTAGAGAATCTTTGGTGTCGTATAATAGTAATGCTAGTGTAGGTTTTCATAAGGCGTATTACGCGAATATTGTTCGCCATAGACGACGTTCCGAGTGTCATCAGACTCCTGTGTCAGGACAGTTCTACGGCAATGAATTGCAGATTTCGAAAGCTGTGGCGCGCATTTGCCCTAACACCGGTTTATAGGTTTCTATGTAGCTCTTCGGAACAGTGTGCGATAGAGGTTCGTGATAACGATGAGTATAGAGGGGAACTTCAACGAAACTGAAGGAAAATACGTAGAGACAAAAATTAACTTGGAGGGAAGACAACAAGCAAGATATGATGCTTTCGACAAAACACGCTGGGACTTACCGATGCGGTAATAGTTTTGATTTTACCTCTACCCTCGTCTCATCTTTTAGTCAGCGCAATGACCGCGGTGTTCAGCCAAGTAAAAAGAAAAGACCTATAAAAAGAACTATGCTCATAACGAACAGCAACCAAAGTAACTGAAGATATGTCTGCCGGCAGCTGCTAAAACAGTGTGGTTCATTTGCTTGCCTACAAACAGTGAATAGGTATTAGAATAATGGGTACGTCAGATATTGCCTGTCTGCGTAACAAGCTCACCGATATCGCTTTCTGGTGAAGCGCTACGATCGAACGATGTTTCTCGATTGGGCTACCCGTTCTTTTACCGCTGAGATTTTTGTTAATGATTTTGTTGAGGGACGGCCAAGCAACTGCGGTGAGGGCAAAGCGCAGTCACCTCAGTATATCTTGAGGAAAGTGTTAAGTATCGTGTGCTCGTTCAGTCATGCAAATAGTAGCCTATACGAATTGATATTCGTTCATATCTCCATGCGTATAGATATAATACGATTGCAGGATAAATCTCTATAGGCACGGCTTTGTGTATACTCTACCGGGTACAAGTACGTTACGGTGCACTCGGAGAAAGGCTGCCATAAGAGCATAATTACAAGGGCTTAGCAGAAAGTTCAGATCCTGTTAGCTGTGGCACGCAATTGAAGATCTTTGGTAGGGAAGAGGGACTGAATTGTCTCGGCCCCCCATAGGATCGTTCCAGATACCTCCTAAATATGCATAGTGCCGCAGGAATCGTCGTCATTCGTCTTTGTTTTCCTGTGCCTTTCATTAGTTGTCTCAGTTTTTACTTTATTCTACGAGCCATGGAACGCTAGCCAACGTACGATGTTACAATACACTGCGTACGTGCATACAATAAATCGCGGATACTCACCGCGAACGTCTTCGGAACGCTTATAGCGTCTGTGCTACACGCTGTAAATGACAAGGGGAAAAGCGCGCTCCTGCAAGGGAACGGAAGGTTCCGAGAACAGCGTTTCAACAGAATACGACGCAACGAGTTACGCCAACGTGGCAGTAAGACCTCCGTCCGAATTTATGTAGTGCAGCGTCTCTGTGTACGCAGGCGACAAAGGCTACAAACTAATAACCACCATCACCATTTCCTTTCATCTATATTATAGTAGCGACCAGCGATCGCGAGGGCAGGTGCCGCCGTATCGCCATCGTTGGTCGTCGTAGCTGTTGTCTTTGACAAAATGAGATCCACCCAACGACGCGACTGACCTCCTTCCTTTCTGTATAGAGGGTGGCAGCCACCTGATGCACGAACGATACCGTACTGCAACTAGCATCGAATCATTATGTTGCTTAGAAAAGCCATTCTTATTCTCGTCGTAAGGCAACACTTGCCACTGCCGCTGTCGTTGTTCGCTATTTTCTCACCTGTGTCTTTTACCGTGGAGCTATCGCTCTCGTGAACTGCGGTCTGTGGAAACGAATCAAACAGCTCCTGCTCGTTTGATCTGTCAAATAAGAACAGAACGTAAACGTAAAGTTCCGCAGAACTGGTCGACATCAACAATAACGGCGGCGGCAATAGCAACGACGACAGGTACAGAAAAATTGCGTTACAACGGCAATGGCGACAGGAGTGGTAGCAGGGGCACTGCCGCAACAGCTGCAGCCACGGTGAAGACCATCATCATGATCACAAGAGAATGTTGCCGGTATTGCTGTTGCATTTAATAAGGCAGCGTAACAATAACGCTCAAAGTAAACTATCGTTACACAGCAGCGGACGAGTGTATTCGATATTTACGTACTACCATAGAATCATTTTACGACCAATTCAAGCGTGATACACACGAACAAATGGAATGAGAGTTCGACGAATTGGCGCCTGACACTCTCTCCCTCTATATATATATGTTCCAGCTCCAGCACGAATTGAGTTTGCTAGATTTGAAATGTGGCGCGCTTGGCGAAATAGGCAAGCTGTTCGTACAAGAAACACATCGCGGCGCTCGTGGTCACAACAAGTCATGTCTCACAAACTGGCTGTGCGCCCACATCTGTTGAGCTCCACATAGGGGGCACGGGAGAGAAAGGGAACAAAGAAGCTAAGAGGAACTATGGCTGATTAGTTAGAACGACGAGAGCAAAAGGTATAAAAATCTATACAAGTATTATCCATAGGTCTACAGTTGAAGCAGTTAGAGACATCTACGTGTTGATTGGCGCGGTAGCCGCTTCGTTCGGTGGTTCTCTTGTTATTTAATCACATTTTATTCTATCTATATTACACTATAAGAATATCTCTTCCCTTCGCGGAATCAGCTGTTGCTGTAGGCAATATTAACTCTTGAAAGATGGTCCCGTAAAACATTAGCATCAATAGCGAGTTCGTCCGCCTCCGCATCAGCAGTCGTTACCGTGTGGTAGACAGTTATTTATGCAGTTGTACCAGCGACACAGAACCGCCTGCAGAAAATGTGCTACTACTATTACTACAGTAACGATATATTATTATGGCTTCATTCAGCGGTCCCTCACTCGTTTGCTTGCTTGGCTGACCAACGAGGCAGCGGCTGCAGCAGAAGCGCATATGTGAAGCAAGCGTGTGCGTATAATATAAAATTACAAGTGGAACTCATTGTAGCCACTACAGTCTCAATGAATGAATGAATGACTGACTCAGTCAGTCAACGCTGTTATACAGATATATATATTCAGTCATATGAATAGATGAATAGACAAACGAACGAATCAGCGAAATGTGCAGGCAGCCGGGTCACACGACTGGGTATATATGCGGTTGTAGCGGAGTGGCTGCTGATCCAACCGTGTTGGAGTTGTTTGTTAATCCAGTGATTCTGTGAATGGTTTAACCCTGTTGGCTGCCTTCCTTGGCTTGCTTTGCTTCGTATACTGCCACACGTTATGCTCCATGGATGTGCCCGTCTGTGGTGTAATAATAACTATTACGTGCAGCGGTAGCGCAGCGGAGCGAGGGAGGCGCAAGCTTCTTATTAGAGTAATGGTAGCGCAGCGGCAATGACTTTCGTTCTAGTAGCGGTAGAATCGTAGACTAATGCCCAGACAATCAGGTCTAGCTGGATCGGATCGACGAGAGCTGATTTGCAAGGTCGGATCTGTCGATGCGGTACCACTTTAGTATTTCTACGGCGGCTGTAATAACGTCATATGGCAGTGGGTAGCTCGTAGTAGTGCGGGGAGCAGTAGTTCGTGGTATAGAGGGAGAGCACGCAATAAATCGGATCACCTACGCAGTGAACCACATATGAACGCAACGCAGTGATGCTGCTGCTGCTGCTAATGCTAATGATGATCATTATGGGATCAGTACTTTTATCCAATGGTTCGTGTCGAGGTGGTACCGCATATTTGATCGCTCCAATGCCTATAGCGTCTACCTGTCCGCCACTTGATTTCAGTAAATGTCTACTACGGTGTCGCTCGATACCGGCAGATGTCGGCAACAGGTAAACACTGCTTGTTATCTGGCAGACTACTCTGTTAGACGATTCTTCGTACGATCAGCGATTGGTCGCATCAAAAGTAAAAATATTTCCGAAACACGCAAATACATAACCGAACAGCGAGAAGAACCAAACTGTAGCAGACGCACGGGCACAATGGGATATCAGCTGTTTGCTTAAGGCTTGCTCTTGGCCTTGCTGCTACTGTTGTTATTGCCTGACGTATTTCTGTTAAACGGTGTGATCGAAATGTGCATATCGGCAGAGTTATGTCGGGCTGTTTGAGAAGAGTACGCGTCAGTTTATTTAGCATCTGTTCCGAACCACCTGACCAGGGATTAGTGAATCGTCTTCATCATCTGAGTTCGTGAATAGAAAATTAAGCAAATACATGTATATAGTGAAAGATCATTAATAATTCTTTAGTAGTACAGAATGGTCGTCCATTGATAAATCCATCTGTTGAGATCCAGCATCTCATGCTTTTGCGGGGTTCCCAGTTGTTCAATTTTCAGATAGTAGCGCTTTAGACGGAGGGCTTTCTATCTCTACAACATGATTGTACCCAGTATTGGAATGTTGCTGGTGCTATCGAATTATTTTTCATAAATAGGTTTAATAATGGCAATTAGAGGCACGGTGATGAACACGACCCAACATGTACTCAGCTCCCTGCTTTTTACAATGTTGTTGTTGTTGTTGTTGTTGTCAACTGCAAAAGACTAACAATATGCCATCGTTGAACGCGAACACGCTTGCTACTCCTTGGTAATCAACCACAAAGGCCCTCAATACTTAGTCCCTTCTCACATTTAGCTTCGTCCTGAAGGACTCCGTCGCAGAATCAACTGAGACAGAAGAAGGATGCGAATTACTCTCTCGCAGGGAAGTGCTTAGCGAGTAAATACCATCTTATGCTGCTCAGTGTCGCTGTCAGGTCTGAAACAACAACTCTCAACGATTTAGTTATGAATGCAGTGCTTAAACAATACGTTCATATCTAGCGTCAGACGCATCTATCGGGCCTGACCTTGGACGAACGCCTCGGCATCTGCTGATTTAACGGCTGATTGGCAGATAGATATTTGTCATCTCCCTATTTGAGTTCAGCTGGTTTGCATTCGTCTACAACTGTATGATTGCCCGCCCAGACTGCGAACTTCATATCGCTAGACGAGTTTACATGATGTTGCCGTCTGCAGTGGAATATGATAACCGTATACAGAGAGCAACAATAACGACGATACATATTAAGTACAATCCAGTACAGTTTCCTCCCCTAAAAAAATGATGGCATGATAGTAGATCTAACGCGAGCTGGACCTGTCTGTTCTTGACAAGAGGACGTACGTCCGACAACTTCAGAATTAAAAACACAGAATCATCAGTCTAAACGGATCAGATACATTTCTCGCTCGCCCGTCAGACGAACGACGTGTGTTTGTATGGTCACATCATTTGAACGGCTTCAATACCACATTGACATTTAAAGTTAGACATAGTGCCATTCTTTGTAATGGCATTGTTATTTTAATACGGCAACATCACTAGCGATGCCAGGCTTCTAACAGCCATATTATTCGTTAGTGCCCACATCTAATCAGCTTGCAAGTAACTCGGAAGCTGCACACCTATAAAGCCCAAAAAATGGGTGGCTAGCGAGGAATAAGAATATGAGCATGAAACACCCGGCTGATGACACTGACCTATAGAGCTGTCCAGTATTCCAGTAGAAAGTGTTAAGCTTTGAATTTTGTTTACCTCTCCACGTCGCATTCATGCTCTATGATTCATATGACCAGCTTACTAGTAGTACAACAGCTATGGCCAAAATTTCTCTGCGTTAGATCCATCTTCCCAATTGCGCCTTATGTGTTCAGTTTGTGCATGCTGTTGTTTCTGTTATGCGTATGGTCCGTTTCTGTCTGTGTTGATGAAGGACTACTGCAACGGCTACAGGAGGCTTCAAGGTAAGGCAAGGAGCGGCAACGTAGCTTGAAGTGTCATAGGGCGGTCTACCAAGCAACAAATAGGACAACGAATCGTCAAATGCGCGCCAATACCTTCGCTGTCACCGAGTCCGTTATTGTTGCCGTACTGTCCGTTGCTACTATTTCCGCAATTGCTATTGCGTCGCACCTACGTATGTCCACGTACCATAAAAGAGATACTAGGTCCATGAACCGACCGAGCCCTCTATCCTTTGTCGATGAACAGATTACCATTAAAATAATCTGCCATAAATCTGCCATAACAGACGCATCGGCAGTAACGATGACCACGACGACGACGAACGCAACACTACACGTAGGAAGCAGCGCTAATAACTCACGATTCTCCACTTCTGGGTTAAATAGTGGGCGATAATAGGGTGCCGCCAGCGACGGCAAGACAAAGTCATATATCATATACTGGCCGTAGCTAAAAATCCGCGCTGTCCGTATATCTGGTGCATGATGCATATGTATTAACAGTATGCAGTTTTTCCTTCTATAATTAGAGCGTTATTGTTCATATATCTTAATATATAAAATAGTATGCTAAGCTAACTATGCGCTATTATAATCGATGGTTCTGTGCGATTTTTTGCTGGTAATATACACTATGAAAAACTTCTGTAGCTTCTGAGCGAGAAATTGCGCCAAGTTTTTATTTTTGTGTCCCTCTGCTGCATGAAAAAGTAACCTTACTAATAGGGTAACCGAAAAAAAGTGGTTTGAGAATGTAATCTTCAGGCTCTACGGCGGATGTATGACAATTTGCCACCGAACTTTTCCCCCAATTTTCGCCAAGGTATATGCCTGAAGATACCTAAAAAGTTTCCTAAAGATATCTGCAGTGTAGCATTGCCATGGTATAAAATGGCGCCATTTCTGTTCACTACTTACGATCAATATTTTTTCACTGATTTGTTGTAATATTGTTAACCGTTGACAGTAGAGGTTCGTACAAATAGTTTTGCTGCATAATGCACGATTTTCTTCCAATCCCACCAGATGAATAGTATCATCCACTTGGGCGTCCATTGGGCTTTGTCACAGACAGAGCGTCTCGTCGTACTGACCATGTTCTTTTTCGTGATTGTCGCATGTGGTCCACGTTTCTAGTCACCTTGAAAACCACCAGCCTCTTCAGAAAAAGCTCCCTCTAACAGCTTAGTAAGTAACGTATGTTCCTGCTTATCCTACAGACACGTTTTTGGTCTAGGCTCAAATCTGGACATAGGCAGACGGTTCGTTTCGTGCTGGGGGCCTGCCAACCGTGTAAAATTTGAAACACTTAGCGTCTTTAAAGATGAGTCGAAACCGAATAAATCCCTTTGCATTATTTGTGTGGCATCCAAATACCGAAATTATTATGTTGACCTAGCCTTTTCAAATGATTCAGAATCATTCGGCGGTGGATGTTCAGCCTCTAGGCAATGTCACAGCTACTTTGGATCGTTTCTGATCAACTTTCACAGTAACTTGACTGACTTCCCTTTTGTGCATCGGCTGAACACTATTAAGAGCATTTTTACTGGAGAAATTTCCAGAACGCAGGCGACGGAATCATCTTTGGGCCACTTCTTCCGATAACGCATCTTGAGCATATAGCGTACGACATTTTTATGGGCCTGGCCAGCATTTGGCTTCCGTAGTAATGCAAATAGAGCGGTTAAAACTTATATCAAAAACTGACAGCAATGAAACGATCGTCAAAATAAATTGGTACACTCTAATTTGACCCATATATATATATATATATATATATATATATATATATATATATATATATATATATATATATGCATTCGTACTAACCTGAGTCATACTCAGTTCTTCAAACGTCTATGCTAAATTAGCTCTGACAATATCTTTTTATATTTTCTCAAGATGTTGTAGCCCATAGCGTCCACCTAAACATGGCCCTTGTAGCCATCAGGGTCATCACATAAAAGAACTCAATGCAGTGACCTTCATCTAGAGATCAGTTTACTCTTGAAAGTCTAACTTTTGGATATATTCGAAAAGCGAACCGATTACTTAGCTTCTTCATCACTCAACAGAGGTTCGAAAAGATCACTCGTTACAATTGGGTCGAAGAAGAAAAAGAAACGTCTTCGAACGAGAAGAAAACGGCTGGCCGATACAGTCCCCATTTTATATAACCTCACTATCCGCGATACATCGTTCAAGAGTGCGTCTACCCTCGCTGTCGATTTCGGGTTTGTGTGAATGAATTTAAGTATGCCTATGATGATGAAGTTAAAATAGTCTATGTAAGGAGAATACAAAGGTCGAACAGCTCGTACAAGACATTGTTATTATCAAAACACTTGATAGGACTAGTCTCTGTGGTACATTGAAGAAAATCAAGCGAGTGACTATTTCGGTATAAACGCTTTGCGTCACGATTAGAAGAACGAAGTGCGTGATGGTTTTTCTATCGGTAAAACGATAGAATTTATCTGTTCGAGTAGTTAATCGTTAAACTACTACAGCGCACATGAGCGAGCCAGTGGCGACACCAAGCGTCTCCTATTGACACCGCAAATAATCACCACAGAACATGATCTCTATGCGGCAAGAATTACCTTTACTACTATAAAGTTCTATTAATAGCGTAACGTCAACCAACACAATACGCCTCTTCGGTCGTAACGGCTGCCGCAAATGACCAACGCCAATCAATTATCGAACAGAAATTACTAGAATTGATGCAAACGGGGATCGTAACCGAGACACCGGATGTCGATAGCCAATGAACGCTATTATTTACAATATTTCCTCAAACCTATAGAACGTTCAGACTATGGTGAGTAGGGATTAAGAAGTCTAGGAGACAGTCCACGAGCAGGGGGTCTGTTGACACATCGTCATAGCGCACATGATATCAATAGCCGCAACATAACCGTAATAGTTTTCAGTATACCTAGCTACACGTGACCTTTTCTATCTATTCAATAATCTATTCGTTCATGCGAAACTTGTGACATTATCCTGAATATGGCTACTCACCTCTGGCTGCGTAGACGGAAGAAGGCTCTGCGCGGCCATTGGGAAGGATGCCGCTGACGGTGGCGGCGGCGGCGGCTGCTGAAGAAGACTGCCTTGAGGCGGCAGTTTATACAGGAGACTGTTGTTGTTATTATGATTTGGCGAGGAACCCGCAAGGGGTCCAGGAGGACCGGCGACCCCTGAGCTCGGGGTCATCCCGCCGGGTGTTAACAAAGGACTGGGCACAGATATGAGTGCAGAGCCGGCGCCTCCTGATGGGATGCTGCTGTTGGCCGTCGTTGTCGGTTTACTGAGATCTACGGCCACCATGTCGTCACTCTCTCCCGAACCTGCTATTGCCCCTGGGGTAGTGTTCATTGGTGAACCCCCGTCGGATGAAGTATGACCACTTCGAGCACTTGGCGGTGGAGATTGGGTGCCCATACACAACGTCTGGCTTGTTTGGAACCACTAATGAACAGATGGCAAAACTAGTTAGCCGAAAATGATCGACAGTCGAGATACAATGAGCTCATAGAAATAATTAAAAGGAAATGACACCATAGTGATATTTTTAATGCGCAAATTAAGCCGAACCAAAAGTCTCGAATAGAAATAATTGGCTGCCTGCTACAGAGCTGCCTGCTCGTTCGAGTAGTCTGACACAGGCAAAGTATAGTACTGCGAACTATCAGTAATTGCCAGGCGATACCAGATAGTAACCATTTTCAGCTCAAGGAAACGCTCCCAGATTTGATTTTGTCGCTCCGGTAACTAGTAGAATGTTGAATGGAATCGCGCGTTGCGTTAAGGAAGCTTAAATTAAGGTAAGGAAGCTTAAGCACAAAACCTTACTCGTCGGTCGAGCGTATTGCACCTAAGAATATATGGATCGATTTTATCTAATTTTATAAGTTAGAGGCGAGCACTAAATATGAGAAGCGCCCATGTAAAATAGCCTACAAATCGAACCTTAACCTTATCTCACTATTTTAGCAGGGAATTCTTTTACTTTATTTGATGCTCGCGTAATCGAGTCCATGTTCGATCAACTACATGCAACAGTTTTCCTTGTCCTTTTTAAACCTTAAGCAACTATTACACCTTGGTCGTATATAATTAGTCTCTTCTTCTGAAATGACCAACCCAGTGGTGGATACGGGGAAAGAATTGCGTATCACCTCTGGGGGTTTTTCTTCGTTAGCTGTCCTTGAATGCGAGAAATGCGCCTCTTCTGTTTGCCTACTGCTATCTATTTGGAGATAGATAAACTTCAAACAAATTCTACCAGATTGTGTAAGTGGAACGATGCTGAATTGGTCAGCTAAGTTAGGAAGCGAAATAAAGCGTCTAGTCATACCGAAACATAGTAGTCATTTAACATCGCATTGCGCTTTTCTATTTTTTTTTTCTGTTGCCGTTGCTTACCGGAGGTATCACTGGCCCCCCCCCACCATGGGGTTGATGCTGAAGCATTGCTACTTTCGGCGATCGAACGGGCGGTGTGCTATCATCGAGTAGTCCGGCCGGACTGTGTGAACCCGAACGGGGGGTCGATCTGCCCCCGCCACCAACTAGCTGGTGCATCGCCTGCGGCGTCAACGGCGTCCGCGGGGTGCATGGGGTAAGCGGGTCAGGTGTTTTCGGCGTCGGCGAAATGATCACTGAAACGGGCGCGGGCGCGGCGCTATCCTCCCACCAGGGGGGCTGCCGAAGTCGTAGGACGGCTCGTGAAACCCACACGATGCAGAAGCATCCGCCACCCTCGTCCGTCGTAGTCACACTCCTGAAGAAGAATAAGCAGCATCAGCACCAGCATAAATTAGATTCATACGAGAAGAACAATGCAGAACAAATGGCATAATTCAGAACGTATTCGTCTACAGATACGTAAAGCAGTGTGAAAAAAAATCGCGGTAAATTGACGCTTTGATGAAGGCATAATTACTTACCCTGGCTGTAAGCCCTGGCCGTAAATTTGGATGAGGTCTGTGTCGACCCGTACAGCATATTGCGTAGGCTTTGCTCGCACCGCTTGTAGCACGCCCTCAACATAGAAAGGCTGATCAGGTGCCAGGCGTACACAGACCGGCGTACCGATGGCACCAAGATGAATGGGTGATGGCGAGTGGTCAGATAATACAGGACACGCGGCCGCTGAGAACACGTTGCAGACGACCATATCACGCCGCTCCTCACTATCCAACTATAAAAGAGAACAACAAAATTATATATATATATATATATAAGCAAACAGCGAATGGCTAACGTGGCTATATTTCACATACTTTTTTCAATCGTAAGTAAAAAGGATGTACCTTGATAATCCAAACCACTGCAAATGACACCTTGCGCCTATTCCTCAGCCCGTCTGATTTTTCGTCTGCTAGGCCTCATATACTGTTGGGAAGATCTTTTACTTTTATCGACTTATTATATGTCATAGTTTCGTGCGGATCATAAAATTCTATGTTGAGTTCACATACTGAACATTAGGCTATTGGATGAAAGGAGCAGTATATCTAACACTCTTTTTTCATTTGTGTTTCGCCAAACTCAAAATAGGATAGGTGCAGGCTGTACGACCTAAAAAGTCATACAGACAATACCTAGAAGAAGCCGTATTATCAACCTAAATAAAAGATCAAATTGTTTCGATCTTCCAGGTATTGTCTTAAGCCGCTTAAAGCAAGTTCATGCAGAAACGTAATAATTAAATAAGCCTATATATTTTAGTTATAAATTTCTCGCGAAAAAATCAACGCAAAACAAGTGTGACGGGTTTTCTTGCAGCACCCTTATGTCGCCAAAGGTCGGTGTGGCAAATTTAGCAGTCAAGCTTGTAGTCAAGCTTCAGGTAGAATCGTATGGCTCGAACGAAACGGCAACAATAGCCCAACATACTGTATCCAAACATCACAGCTGTTCAACAATATATTAATACTCAAGCTCCAGCAAACGAAAGAATGTTTTTCATCTTTAACGTCGATACAACCGGCCAGAAGTGAGATTACCCGGTGATCAGTAAAAATGCGTTTCCTATTTATTCAGCAAATCCTTGACTTTGAGTCCTTTCGAAAGTCAGGCACGCGAAAAATGTATCTCACACATACGCTCATACCCAGGCCACTCCGAGAGTCAGCGGCTATTAGTTTCGTTGCCATCATGGGGACAGGCGCGCTGCTCCTAAAAGGCAATGCGACCATCCGGCGTCAATGAGCGCGCACCTATTCAGGCAGATTTTCATGTTACAGCGCGATGCAAATGCAAAACTATACTCTAATTTAAACACGCGCATCGAATGAGAACGTGGTGCACTCGGCCTTTGCCTAGAAGTCCGTCAACAACTGTAGAAATTGATCCATGTCGACGTTGTTCATACATAGGCTGACGAAGATCGTATATACAATCTTCATACACGAAAAAACGACACTTCCAAAAAAACTGCGGCTTACAAGCACTTGGTATATAGTATAAATTAGAAGTCATTGCTAGACTACATCTAATATTTATTTGATCTTGTAGATGCCTATCAGATGGTTACTAACTTTAGAACCTGTTGAGGAAACTAGAAACTAGAAAAGAAAAAAAAAGTTCTTGTCGGCACGCTGTGTGTCCCGTAAAGCCGGCATTGCCGAATAAACATAACTTCGTGAATCATGACATGTCTATTGTTAATTTTGTTTTGTTCATTATTGAGCTAGACACTCGACAATGATACAATGAAACGAAATCAATATTGGCGTAATGCCCATAACGTTCTTGTTGCCATGACGCATTTGTTTAGTACTTTGTCCTATACTGGACCGCCTAATTAAAAGAGACTTGTCAGACAATCTGTCAGCGAACGATAGATTCCGAAAATCCTGCTACCGACAACAAAGGAAGTTGTTGTCGTAAAAATGACTATTTTTTAAGTGCATAGAAGTGACTTCATTTGAGGTCTAATGTAAAAGATGCCACCTTATGTAACAAGTCTAATTTATTCGTATTTGTGAAGACTTGCTTTGGTTGTAAAGAGCGTCAATTGAAAGTCAAAATCAATTGAAAATCACATAGCAACAACTTACTGAATTATAGTTTAAGAAAATAATCAGGCCGTGTTCTTCTTCACATAAATTGTCTGTGCTTGACCTTGGATCTTCATAGATTTCAGTTTAGTGAATTTGTTACACCCAAGCTTAATCGAATCGACACGGCGAGCTGCTTAGGCTGAAAACAGGAACGAAACTCTGCCCTGTATAGGTCTTCCTATAGGTCCTGGGATACAAACACACATCTGTTTTCTCATTTCAGACACTTTATAGATATACAGTTATAAAAATGACATAATATAATTCATAACACATAGTCGTATGCGGCAAACAGTTGAAACTGACACTTGAATTGCTCTTTTATGCAGGGCCCACCTATTTTATTAAGGAAAATAATTTTCCAATGTCTTGGAGCGTCGTTCGATAGCAATCAATATAGACGCTGTCAGTGGACAATTGTAATTAACGAGTGTCCCCTGAAACAAAAATGAGCAGGGATTACTCTTTCAAAAAAAAAATATAATTCGTTGTTTTTTGCTCAGACTGCAGTAATTTACAACGAACTTGCGAAAATCTTTGAAAAGCCTCGATTACGACCTATACCGGACCGGTACGACCAGGATACGCGATCAGCACCCAACCAGTGATCCTTGCAATAATAACCGCAGTTGTATCCGTAAAAAACAAGTTTAAGAAGAAACTGGTTCTCGGCAAGGCGCTGTATTATCTGTACGTACGGATAGAAGAGGTTAAATGGCTTCTGCTAGAATGTCTAAAGGGTGTGCCGGACGTAAGATTCGAAACCTTAATCTTTAGGTGATAGCAGCTCTGAGGAATCAGCCATCCAGCCAGCTGACCAGTATAATCATCGTGATACAGTGTTGCCGCATCAGGGCTGCAGAACTCCGATATTTCAATAAAAAAGTTGTTCAACGAAGGAGGACGATGCGAGTTATTACCGTCGCTGTGATATATACGAAAACTGACTGCGAGATCGCGGTGCCTAGCAGCTTGAATTGACTTTTGGCTGGTCGAACGGCCCAGTAAGGCGCCGTTGCTAAGATGACTATCTGGCCTATTCACACACGACTTGACTTTAGATATCCAGCTAAACGAGACACGTCCCACTGCTCAGTGAGACTGACCTTGATCATGAAGTATTTGCTAAAAAAAATGATAGAATCAATTTATTGTCCAACCAATCCGAAAGGAGACACTTTTCATGTCTAAACAAACAAGTTAATTGTACTAATTGGTGACACAGGGGTAACTTTGCCATCGATTTTTTACGCGGTACTGATAATAGCCATTAATAATAGTTTAAAGGAAAAACGTGTCTTCGCCGCTTCATATTTTACTAAAAACGAGGCTGATACACAATGAAAACAATGATAGGTTCAATTATTTGAAAGCCTGCTTTGATTGTCTGGTAACATAACCTAGCCCGATGCTCCAATCGAAGACAGTGCACGACACCAACTTTACCCGGCCAAATGTAAACATATGAAGTCTGATATGTAATCTATAATGCAGCATAATCCTATGCAAGTACTACTAGCAACGTGATAATGGTGACAGAAATAATCAGCACCTTCGCAGTCTGGGGGATACGCAAACAATGAACCAAAAGATTACAAATTTCCAGTGCTATCCAGTCGCGGAAGAGCAGATCCCTTTTCCCGAAGAAAATAGGAGACAAACCTGTTTTTAAAGAGAATATCTGCAGTGGCAGCAGTAGTAGCGATGACCACAACTAGCAGAACTTCCAACCAGGATATAATAGGTATCCTGAATGAACGTAGTAGTCATGCAATTGAGTGGTAAAATTTTCGACCTGCTTGTTGATCATTCCCTGCTCGTTGGCCGTGTGTTCCCTCGTTAACAAAGACGTCTGTACTCCAAAGGGCACCACAAGCTAAGAGTCACTCATAGGACAGCGGAAGGGAACCCAAAATGTTTGCACTATTAAGTGACTCTAGTCTCGTCTCTGTTACTAGTCATCATCATATAACTAAAACTAACTGGTTGGCACTTTGCAGTGGCCGATTTGTCCAGGCGTTTAGATACAAAGTGCGTTGACGCTGTCACAGTTTACCGGCACAGCTGCATGGGTTTCGCTGTTTTGATTAAAGAAAAGTGACCCACCGACGGTTGCTAAAGCGAAGCTACATGGAGAAACACTTGACATTTGATCATACTGAAACCATCTGTCACAAAGCACTGACCAGATCCCAGAGTCACTAGTACGTACGCGTCTTGAATATGATGAGCGCTGCTTCCTTATTCATATTACATCTACCTACTAAGGACGAGCGAGTCCTTGCGAAGAGAAATAGATATGGGATTGGCAACGCCTGCCAGGGTTTTATACAGTGATAGAGAATTCCACGCCAATATGGAATGGAATAGCTGTATAGAACCTTTCAAGTAGTCTGTAACAGGCTTTACTCATTGTTGGCCAACGATTTGCAGTATCTACAATAACGAAATCAGGATATCCAACAACGGACGAAGGGTCAAAACGTGTTGGCGCGTGGGTGCTGTTGCCACCATAATCGCTAACGTGGTCATTGCCATTACTTAATATAATGATTAACAATCGAATTTCTCCGTTTCGTCGATGTGATAATACGCTGATATGCTACTTAAATAGTCCTTATACGGACAGCGGATACCTGTGCGTGCGCGCGTGCACTCGACGGCTTCCAAAGCCATATGCATGATATTACATGCACAAGTACCGAGATCGGCTGTCAAACAAAAGAGCAATTGGAGCAGCTGGAGTTTATCACCTATCTGATTTGCCTTGCTCCTTTGTTTCGCCGTTTCTATTGAGGTTATCTTCTACACTTCCCGTCGTTAGTGTGTCGTTATGTCCAGCCGGTGTCAACGACAATAAATTAACCGAATGATTAATAATAACAAACAACGGGTACACTTCAAGCCCTTGTTCGGCTTTTCTCTTTTTACTTCAATATATGCAAGAGTCCATTAAAAGAATAGCGACCGACGCAATCAGTACGAGACTACGATGGCAGGTTGCTGCAACAGCTTAACGGAAGCAACGATAATTGCCGTTAAAACGCTAACAGTAGCGACTGTAGCATCACTACTCCAAGTAATATGCTCTGCAGAAGCTATCTTAAAGCGTTCTTCCTTAATATGCCCACAGATGTGTTTTTTGTGTTTTCAATACAGTCACTGAAGGTGTGCCACGGCAACAAAGGTGCTTACGAATCTGCCCGTTGCCGTCGTCACCATGACGACGGGCACCGCTGCAGAATACCACTGCGACGGCAGTTGAGTGCTGCTATGGCACCATAGCGGCGATAGCCAAAGCAGCGGCGGTCGCAGCGGTTCTGATGACGTATGAAATTATTCTCGAACGCTTCTGGGCCTGGGGATGGATGGATGGACCAGTGGAGCGATTGCTTGCCAGCTACCGTTACCGTTCCGAATTTTACGTTCGGTCTGCGTTGGTTAAACACTTCTTTAAATCAGCTGCTACTAGTAGAGCTAACCTCAACCTAAGTGGGGTGCGCGCGCGTGCGTCCGCTTTGTTTCTCTGAAAGACTGCAGTCTACGCAGTTGCTGTTTTCTGTAGACAGACAACAATAAGCAGCAGCAGCAGCAGCACTACCCGCAGCTTTTTTACCTGTTCTGCTATTGCGTTGCTTGCTCTCTGTGCCTTTGCATATCCTGCGTTCAACCAACGAAGTAAGTACATACAGTGTGTAAGCGATTCGCCAGCCAGCGTCAGTGCACGCGTGCGCTCAGTTGTCTGCTTTTCCAAAAAGCGTTAGGCCCGGCCGTGGCCACAGTGGCCATCGTTGTCGTCGTGACACCTGAACGTGAGTGCTGTGCTGAGCGCACAGGCTGCCAGCACCATCAGCGCTAGCTTCATCAGCAACAACAGCAGCTTTTTAGTGAGAGTGACATTGTTCGCAGCAGCAATAGTAGCTTCAAAGATGGCATCGGCTGCACTGTTGGCTTCCGTAATAGAAAGCGAACAAGCAAGTATGTAACGGCCACAGCAGCAGCGGCAGTAGTAGGGAGAGCCTACGGTCAGACAAATAGGCGGCTACGGCCTTACCTCGAGCCCTGTAGCACGGCACAACATAAGCAACAGCACCAGCAACAACAGCAGCAGCAGCAGCAGCAGCTGCTGTAGGACACTGCTTAAGAAATTGCTGTGGGCTGGCAACATTCGGTTAGAGATCACAGTACGGAAAATATATGATTCGTTAGGCCGGCCCGGAGTATGCCATGGAAGGCGAATTATTTTGATGCCTTACGGTGTGTCAGCAGGCCAGCCATCGCGCTTTGAGTAGTATTCACTTAGTTCTTTGCATAAGTGAGACCACTATTCAACTGACGATCTCCAACATCGCCTACAATAGTTCTGCTTGCTCACTCAGCCAGGTTGTTTCAACTTGGCAACTTTTTTCGCATAATGTTTATCATGCTACTTGTAACTAGATGCTTTATATAACGACGGCTGTTATAACAGGGTCGTTGCGGCGTACGGTGGTGACACAGGGCTCTGAACTTCGAATGCCACCGAAAGCGGTAGGAAGCAGTGAATTTTCATAGTGCAACGAAAACAGGACCCAATATCACATCAGCAATCGATGCGGCAAGAACGTGACAGCAAATCGTGGAGGCAGGACACGACTGTCAGTGAAGGGTGAAGAAACTATAATTGAAAAATGGAGTTTAATTTGAAAATGGCTATGAACTTGTATTAATGCTATTTTATAATCGACGAATATCGTTATTAACTATTAGGTACAAATATACACGCAGGAAAAACCGTAAAAAACACCGACATGTGCAAATTTTGCGATTTTTTTTTTAATTCCAAAAGCAAAACAAAGCTTACGTACCGTGGAATAAAATTGAAAGGGTGTGCCGGTGCGTCCACAATAAATAATAAACTATAATACATCTTTACAAGTCATTATTCAATTTTTTTTTTTTAAAAAACTAATTGCCTCTCATTTTACCACAAAGTGCCTGTCACTAATTAATTCTCGTACGATTCCGCTGGATACATCATCCAATATGTATAGAGTCTGTGTATGTATGCGTCTGCACGTGTTTACACAGCCAACGACCACGAATCACCGACATCAAAACCGATGTTCCACGTAGACAAATGGCTACCGTTATCGCTTGTAGTGTTTCTCTCAGTTCCGTTTTTGCCATTGTAAATCAAAGTTATCGACGAGATAAACTAGATTCGGGATACAATAACAATTTGAATACTGCGACGAACGGATAGAGTACTTTCGCTCCGACGTCCTATCCCGTCTGTGTTGTTTTTTTTTTTTAATAACAGCAGCCTTCGTGACTCAGCTGTTGTGACACGTATGTGAGCGTCACGCACGACATCGATTACGATCCGGCGCTTGCTAGGTTCGTCAATGATGCTTTGAACAGTGAAGTGTATCTCTCTGTAAATCCGCAGTATGGTAACGAAGAGTAGGTTGATTGCTCATGTCTGATTATAACATATTACGCTACACTGCAATACAAACTAAGACATACCTGTACAATGAGATCGGAGGGCGTATTGGTGACTTCCTTGATGGTAGCAGGGAAGTATCTTCTTGAATCGTCTTTTTTGACAAGAACCCGGTGCCCTCGCCAGTCGGCCAGGTTCACCTCGGCAGCGTCCGACAGTCCTTCCATTTCAAGGCCCACGCTGCTGCCTCCCATTCCCGGCACACTTAATGCCGAAGGCAGGGGTGACGTTGCTAGACCCATGGGAGGATGGAGCGCTGACGGTGATCCGCCATGATCTGCTGCTAGAAGGTCAATTCCCGATTGGGGTACACCCAAACCTCCCGACTCGCCAGCGGCTCCCACTGGCGATGGGAATTTCCGCTTTTTCGGCAACATGCACACCTAGAAGAAAAGATAGAAGCTTGTAAGACAACGACTTCAAAATGCTAATCCAACAACACTTTGAAGCGAGTAAAAGTGATCTAACGTCGGCGCAATAAATAAACAAGCGAATGTTGTTCTTATATAAAAGTGTGTTAAGTAAGGGCATACGAAAAAATGCTACAACAAACACATCGTACTCAAAGCAAGCGGTGCGAGAGAAGGCGATACGGCTGAGTGAAGCGTCTCCGTAAATTCGCTAAATATCTAATATAAATTAGAGTGATCGTTATCTACGAGACAAATTTTGATTGATATTAATAGAAAGGACTTCGACAGCGACCGCAGTCGATAGCCCTGGTTGACATTGCCTGTGTCCACAAGTTGTCCACAAATTTTATACTGACTATGCTCATATATATCTCTAATCTACTGAACGACAGGGTGTCAGCGTTCGAAGGCCTATTTTGCACTGACTATCATAGACTACATGTATATGGGTAGATAGTTTTATCTTTCGAGTAGGTACTTCTCTTTTGCCAAAGGTAGCCGCTATACCATGATTTAACCTATGGATCAAGACCAACAGCTAGGTATTTTGCGTACGACATACTCTTGCTTTGACATCGTAACGGCCGATTCTCGGACAACTATAGGCTCCCAGGACTGGCCTGTCGAAGTTTTCTGTCTAAAGCTAATTAAAAGCGACACGTGAAATTTGATTGATTTTTTGCGTCTTCGTGGCTTTCGCAAATAATAGACACATGCAGAAATTACCTATTCAGTGTTGCAGACGCAATAGACGCATCAATAACTGCTAGCCTTTTGCAGTACTAGCTATCAAAGCAACTTGTAGCGACTGGGCGCCCGTATAGATATCCCACATCAACTAGACTAGAGCAGTAGCTTTCCATGCTGTACATAGCGAATTTTCGACATTATCGGCCTCTGACAAATCGCTACTGATAGCGAGGCATTGTCTAATAGGGGATCTTTGCGCTTTCACGCGATCGAAACAGGCACAACGATCAGAATCGCTCCATATTCTAGTACCTTTCATAATGTCGAAAAGGCTAGATACGTCAGGTATGCCAAAATAGATATTCAGTAATCGAAGACGGCCAATAGAGGAAGTAAGTTTTCGCAGAATTATGTTATCGCTTAATAATGTTTAGAATATTACGATCTGACATTTGAGCCTTCGTCCAGTGACCGCTTTCAACAATATTTGGTAACTGTTCGACGATCTCACATCTGTGTGGGCTTCGGGGTATGCCCGCGTACAGGAAAGCCTTGTATCGACGATAGCAGAATATGCGCTCTCTTCAAAAACTCTTAAACTCCGATGTTACGGAAGACATCATTTTTCCTTTTTTCGCATTTGCCTTTATCATATCAAAATAAAATCAGACTTCAGCTTTAATGCGCCGTCAAGGATGTTTGTTTTCACTGCAACAATGGCTTAGCTGATCTTATGGCCAGTTTTTACACTTGTCAAGAAAAACAGTTTGCGCTTGAATGAGCCCAATGGAAAATCAAATGATGGATCAATCTATACGACAGCTGAAAAATATACAAACATTTCAACTTTATTGCTCGGTGCGGATTAGTTAAAAAAAAAAAGTGACAGAAATATAAGTGTGTTACATTGTAACTGTTACGTCTTTCTCTTCCGCGTCTCGATGCACGTAGGTCTAACTTCGACTCGACTTCAGTCTCGATCCATCTTCTAGCGGCTAATGAAGCGCATGCTATTTTTGACAAATCGTCATTATTTTTTGTTTTCTTCAAACAACGCTTCAGCTAGTTCTTCGCTCTGACCTGAGCGTTGTGTCAGCTCTAAGAACAACCGTATTCGTCTTTTGAAACGTATTCAAGAACATCGTCGTACAATAGTTAACAAACATCATCGCTATACTTCGCGTTTGACTAATAACAAAACGTAGAGCTGCTTTAATAATTTATATAGTATTACAGTAACCCCTTCGTATGCTTATAGTCAAGGGTATGCCCAGCTACGCTAGAACATAGTTATCCATATATTAATGTTTAACTGCTTTCTATCGTTACTGTAGGCACTCGTAGATGGTTACCCAGTTTTGCTGGATGTGCGCGATAGGCTACAGCTAGTAGACAGCCGTTTGTTCTTGGCCTGGGCCTGATTGATAACAGACACTCAGCACTACGAGCAAAGGCGTATGTATCTTGTTCAGTAGCGTCTATATTATATGTTAGATTCGAAGATGAGTAAGCTTAAACAGGACCACCTATGCGGCGGCGGCGGCGGCGGCGGTTAATATCTAAGCGTGCCTGCGCGTATTTTTCCCGCCATTGAATTAATATATACGTTACATATTAATATTTAGCTGTATACAAAACATCATCGACAAGGTAAATCTCGCTCTATATCCAAGCATGACCACGTTAACAATGTTGGATACGACATCGAGATCAAATCGCTTTAGTCGACACGTACATACATAACCTTCGCGAATACTGCCCCTTGGATTACCAGCACTACTGACCACAACTCTGACTATCATATGGCCCTTTTGGACAAAAACGAGCTATTAGCGGTTGCTGTGAGCTGCGACGGCACCGTCTTGCTGACAAAAACAGCCATAGTTTTCAAATTGTACAGGATAGCGCAAGGTCATCAGGAAAGATTATCCGACAAATTGGCAAAGCCTACAACCGACGGCCAACAGAAATGGTGACCCTAAAAGATCATAAAATATCGCCATTCACGTAGGCTACAAGTCGCCGGCCTGTAACTGCAATTGGTCTAGCTAGCGGGTGCCTTTATCGTTATTTAGCGTGTGACACTGAAACGGAAATCACCCGTCGTAGCAATACGACGACGGTACCTCTAAGCTGGCGAGATATCTTCGAAGCAAAAAGTACTACTAATGTATTCTGCTTGAAAAATCGCATTTCTAAAGAAATGCGTTGAAGTAGCCTACGTTTTCTGGAAAATGTTGTTTGGCGAGATTACCAACGAAACAGCGGAATATCTTTCATAAAGAATTTCGATCGTATAATAATCGCGATACACGCTTATTCTACTACTATTTAACATATGCGGTGTACCTCGACAAAGTTACAATTTTTGTTCAATCGGTTAGTATACGACGATCCTGAACTTGTAAGAGAAGCCATTGGCAAGGAGTTCGGGATAAATTGACAGGCACCTTGTGCGACTCCGCTGGGAGCAAATCAGTTTTTCTCGAACAGAGTTACACGGACATCATGGCCGAGGCAGGTCATTTGTATTCGAAACCTGACGAAGATAGGCTATGGTCTGATCCTCGCGTAGAACATTCTTTCACTGAAATTATAAGCTCTACTGACTGTCCGACATCGACGGCCTACGTTTTCTTGCGGCCTCCGTAGTATTCAAGGAAGACTATCGTGAGACAAAATGGAAAATCCACAATAAAGGGTAGATTGAAAAGGCTTGAAAGCTCGTTAAAACGACAAAAAGAAAAGCCATTTGTTATGCTCCTGGAACTTCACTGCGGAAGTTAGAGGCCGTTCACAGTGACAGAGCACCTCTCACAAGTTGGATCGTCTGCATGAGCTTTAACGGTCAGCCGTTTTGAGGCGTTTGACCTCTCTTGACAGCTTAAGTCTTCTAGACCTCTAAATTTTCGGGACTTTATTTAAATAAATTTATTTGCCGTTGGTATATATTTGATATTATACATCAGTATGGGTCTATTCAAGATTACTAGCGAAATTTCTCCACGACTTAAGAATCCTTGAAAATGATTTGGGAATGGATGGGGACCCGAATGGCAATTACATTGAGTGAACACGTCTGTAGGGTATACCCCTGTCGACACCTGTAGAACGATGTATCCAGATTAAATGAAGCTGGTAAGTAAAAATATTTCCAATTATCCGGACAAATCTCTACATGGGCTGGCCATAAGGGTGCCCGACCAAAGCATACATTCATGCGAGACTACGTCCCCTGATCATGGCACGTACGTTTTCATCAGTAAACCTTGATACCTATTAATTTCCTCATACAAATAAGCTAAGAACATTTTATACAATGTACATGCAACCGGAGTATTCAATCTTTGTCAGGTGTCAATACTTTATATCATCGATTTCTGACGTGTTATCATTTATCGGTCAGCATGTCGCTAAAACAACCCTCCAACTCCGATAGTCCAAAATGGTCAACAGTTATTTTTTATTCCACTAACTCTGTCGTACCAAACAGTCCAAACACTTATCGCAGATCTATTATAATTACATTATTGAGTTAAACTAGCGCTGCCAGAAGTAGCGAAAAAAAGCAATTACCGATTTCTCCTCGTCAGTGGTTTGGGGGTTTGTAGGATTGAAGAGGGCCCCAGTTTGCCCCACCTGGGAGGGCACTTGCGCCACCTGCGTTGTCAGCTGCAAATATACAAGCAATACAGATTCTGTTAGAATAAAAACGGTCCATAAACCAACCACAGTAATAAAATTGTACTTCTGCGACGATACACTTTTCTATTGCCTTAAAAAGTGTAAAAATCATGCACATACAACTAAGGATCAATAGGGCTCACTCAGATAGCAAACATCTTTGCCAACCATGCTCGACTGAAGCAATGAATTATCCTTTTTCCCATTAAGCTTCGTACGGCTACGTCACATCCATGTAAACAGGAATACTGCTACCGTTTTTCGTTGGAGGAAAAAGATTAAAAACAAAAGAATAACTATTTGTCGGAAGCCGATATGCCACACTGAGCCAGTGACTTCAGAGGCACCACAGACACACACGCACACCCGTCACTAATATTACCTAGATGTTTTTGCGCGGCGCAATATCGCAATCGACATCTTCTTTTACATGAGAGATCTGTAACAAACTCGAGTTTATCGTCAACGCTTATATCTATGCGTGTGCACTACCTCACAAACTAAAGCTTCTAATTGTATGTCGCAACGATCTGAACAACACGTACAGCCATACCTCGGCGCCTGTTTAGCGGGAATTCTGAAATTTTCTGCATGACATGTGTATGACGTTGGCTAAAGTGCCGATTTTAATATCCTCTAGACGGCCGACAGGCATGCAGGTTTTCCAGGCGCAAAACGAGGTTTAATCATGTCATTGCAGGCGCAATTGTTACGCCTGACGAACACCACTCAGAGCACATGGCACGGGTTTACTTGTTCGCTAATCTGCTTCTTAGATCTTGTTATTTGTTTCTGTTATGAATTGTCGTACAACAGTACGCTGCTGTGACGGTATCCCACTTTGCCCCCGACGATATCACAAATGAATCTTCTATAAGCGGCCGTAATCGGCGCCGGTTCGCGGTCAGCACCTTCGTCCTGCCGCTAGTGAACTCAGCCCCTTTATTTTGATTCAACTGGACAGCGGTGCCACCCGAACGACGTTAAGCAAATTTCAATTCGATTAAATGTCTGTCGCTAACAAACAGTTTCTATGACATCAGTGATTCAACAGATAGCCGCCGGTGGAACGGTACCATAAAGCGGACCGTTGTATAAAATTCATCAGAATAATTGAGACAGCGACCCATAGCGTTCCCCAACTGCACGCACCTATTCTAGACCACACTTTAACCGTAACGGCGTAACGCTTTCGATACGTCTTTTTTTAAAAACCATACCTTGTTTTTATATAAAAATTATACTTCCGCGTCAACAACAACAACGATAGCACTAGCAGTAAGAGCTACGATAGTAACAAAACCAGAATATACATGATACAACGTACAAATACGCAAGTAATACTAGAAGCGATCGTGGCGCCTATTAGCGTCAAAAGGCGTCAGACTTGTTCGACCAGTTCCGAATACTCCTGAGCGTGCTCGTGCATTCGGTGTCGAAATGGAATCTTTCCGCAGACAGCCCGCCGTAGCGGCGACGCAATATAACTGGCAGTAACGTTACAAAAAAACAACTGTTCGCCAGATAAGTTTAGTCATCACAAGGTAACAACATTAAATTCGCTGGTCGGTCACTGCTGCTGTTGTTGGCATGTTGCGATTGCGAATGTTTACAGAACGAAAGAGCACGGCTATCTGCAGCACGCCGACAACGACAACGACAAACAGTGGTAACAGCAGCAGCAGCAGAGGAAGAAGCAGCTGATCGGCAGCGGTGAAGTGATACTTCATTTTCATGAATAGCAAATATTCATGCGGCCTGTATGTACATGTACAGCCGGCGAGATATCTACCCGTAATCTACCGTACAGTCGGACTCGGATACGACGCATCGATGAGCGAGCATCGGTGCGTAGATGTCTTTAACTACCGTGCACACCGGCGGTGTTCGAACGGCAGCAGTGAGCTATGTATAAAAGCAAGGGAAAACTTGTCATTACAGCATTACTATAATCGATGCTTTCGTACGATGTGTTGTATATTTGCGTTCATTGGTCACTCTCACTGGCTACGCCCTAATGCACGTTGTTGTCGTTGCTAGCGGTGTACGTGGCGGCCCAGAAAGGTTGCTTAAGCAGCAATCGTCGAAGCTGCTGCAGTTGAAATTACTCGTCTTGGAGTTAACCGCTGTGGCTAGGCGTACGTGCACAGCGAAGGGCCCCGTCGGCTTGCTTCAGCATAGAGATGTCGCTAGATAATGACTAAGCGAACAGGATCGAGGCTTCACCTTGACCCTGAGTTCGGCACGAGACCCATTTTCGATAGGCATTTTGGCACGCTCACACACAGTCCCGAACGAATTGGAAACATCTACATGACCAATTAATGAATGCGCTACTTCTAAGAAGAAAAAAACGCAACATCTCAAAATTATTTATCCAGCGAAAGGGGCGCTGAGAAGAACGAAGCCGATTATAACAAAAACCTTCATTAAGGAATCGTGTAAAACAATTTGACATGTCGCATCGATTGATTCTGCACGTATTGTAGTGTTACACACTAGTCAGACGGTCATGCATCTATAGAGTCAACTTATATTATAGATTTCCTATGCCCTATAACGAAGGCCATAGCCACCGTGTGCTCAAGACAACCACGCCAGTAACAACTGTCAGTCGAACAGAATTATGCAATAAACATTCAATGATTTATGCCCCTGCACAAGTCATTTACTGTGTCTATTTTTTTTTGCTCCCGTAACGGTTCTACTCACATGCAGATGAATTCGGGGTTTATAAGATATGTTATGCAGATACTTTAATCTATACCATTCTATGCATAGAAGAAACGATTGAGTCACTTCAGTGACCTGAACACATAAACATAGCCCTCGATCCGTCACATCTCTTATTAATATGAGTTTAAGCATAACTAATATTTTCGTGCCGTCTCAGTTTAAATCGTTCGCAGGCGGAAACTCCGCAGAGCGTGTATAGATCACCCTGTTTTCTGAGAAACAACAGCTATTTTAACAGTTACAATGCTGTCATCGGCTGAATTGATCCGACAGCACGAAACCACATAGCTGAAAGCATCCGATCGCTCGGACGTACCACGCACCTACGAATCCTATTTAGCCCTTGCCGTTCAGGGCAGAAATCCTTGCAACTGACCACAGACAGCAAAAGAATATCAACCTTCGTTCAAAAATGTACGTGCCATATCTATAGTCGCTTCTCTTCTTTCTACCCGCAGATCAGCCCGATATGAGCGTGAAAACCCGGTGCATGAGTATGCGTCTCTAACCGTACAATACATGTCACCTGTGTTTGAAAACAGTTTTGCCTTTCGAATAGAAACGTCATTCTTGTTGGAGGCTAACCGTCCTTGTATTTGTCACGCAAACAGAGCGGCTCTCCTACACGCTTGCCGTCATATAGTATTTGGCCGACTAGTGATCGTCTAACCGCGCTCACGATATCTGGCGGCGAGGCTGTTCTGTAGACTAGCCCCATCTTGGAGTCACCCCCGCATACTATAGCCCCCCAACTTCCCTCTACAGCCCCATCTGGCCTCTGCATTAGCTTCAACAGTAGCAGCGATAGTTATTGCGGCGCGCTGTTTGGTATCATATGATTCTGCGCCATGCACAAACCAATCACGACGCAACCCGTGGCGACGCGTGAAGAAGATGCGGCACAAATAATGCAACTATGTAAGTAAACCGGCTATGGCGAGGCCTTGCTGCCTACTGAGTAACGCGAAGTCAAATCGAACCGAACCCCCTGTCCTGTCTTTAGCACACACCCCTTCCTTCTAATCTCTGTTCCGTTTATCCAGTTCGCTTGAAGTGGGTCTCTCTCTGTCTACGCGTACAGCTGTTTGTTGTCGTGCTACGTGCTCGTGTCGGAACGCTTGCGGCGATCGTCGGATGAACGAGACGTCGATGAGCAAAGACAAACGCCTGCGGCAAAATCAACTGTGACAGACAGCAACAGCCGCATCAAAACAGCTAGGGCCCATTCACTCTGAGTCGTCGTCGTCGAGAAAACGAGGAATCGCTAACGATGGCGCTACGGCAGCGCAGAACTGAACAAAGCGAACTAAGAACCACCAGCGCCGTTGTCGTCGCTGCAGTGTTGCCTCGCTAATAATTACAACAACTAAACAGTTAGCTAGCCGGAAATACTAAACAATAAAAACAACATCAACGAAAAGTGCGGCGAGCGCCATGACCGTTGCTATACGGAGTGGCCAGAGGCGGGCAGTCAGGGAAACCGGGCAGGGGGGCATAAAAGAGATTGCTTATACTCCTGCTGCAACATACAAGGAAAACAAGTGGTAGCAGTTAGCAATCTAGCAACAAGAGGAATAATAGCTGAAGGCTAAAAAAGAAGACACGAACTTTTCCGAAGAACGCCACCATAACATGCATTGACGTCACTGCATCGGCGTACACGCAGTGCTTACTATTATTATTATATGATCACTATTTACAATGGTTACTGTTGGCGTTATCGCTCGCGGCTGTGGCTGTCGTTCTGGCCACTGCACTTACCACAGGTGTTAACGTCGCTTGGTAACTAGCGGGCACAACCCGATTTGAAATTCTCCGAAGCGCGTCGCTGTTGCTATAGCCGAAACGGCTACGCTTAACACAGAGTATTCCCATCAGTCGCCGTCGTTGGACTACGACTGGACTTCTAGCTCGAAGCTGCCATGGCACCGGGTGAGACGTATGGGCTGACATAGCTTGTTTAGAACGGTAGGCGCTTGTTCGCCAAAGTGCGGCCAGTAGAAAGTGCTCTCTCCGCCAGCAAAAAGAAAAAAAGTACAGTCTTTGGCTATTGCGACGATAACGCTGGTCGCTCTGCTTAAAATACTGAGATTTCACGGGAACGCAAGCTGAAAATTGCTACTTGCTTCTAGGGTACACTATATCGTCTTTGTATTTATTCGTTGGTACAGGTTATCCTTCTTCTGTACGTCGCTAACAGGTAGGTCTGGTAAATGCCAACATGAAAAGAGTCATATTCGTTTGTGATGTTG